TAAGGCAGTCATCCTTCAGATAATCAGAAGTTTCCAAGGTTGTCCTTCGGAAGAAACGTTTGTAACCCCTGAAATGCATCAACAATGTGTTATGCGAGGAAATATTGTCCCAGCCCCAATACCACCTGATTCCCCCAAAGAAAAGGACAAAGAAGAGACGAGCATGAACTGATTAAATTCCGATGTGACATTTACAGGCACAAAATGCAAACAACCAAATTTTATTAAACATGATGAAAATAAGTCTAACTAGGTTGGCAAAACTACCGATAATACAAGAAACCAACTCAGAGCAACAACATGTGTATATCTCCGAGTTCCCAGTGTCACAGGCAGGGATCAATATGCTGGTTTGAGGAACGCAATACACTGAAGGTACACTAAACTCATCTGCTCACCCAACAATGTACAATAGCAATGGACAAAGTAAAATCCCAAACAACATGCAGGCTAAGATGTTTTCAGTTACGGCATTATATCATTCTTAGTTTTTCTAACCGGGGGGGGGGGGGGGGGGGGGACGTGTAAATGTTCTAGCTATTGAGGAATATAGGGGTTTTTTTTCTTACAAGGATCTTAATTTCCAGAGTATGTTATCATGGATTAATTGGGATCTGTCAAGGAGCACAACAAAAGAGCATTTCAGAGAAATAATCATATGCCACCTGTTTGGAGGACAAAAGGACAAAGACTATACGTAATTGAACATTAGATCTTTTGTTAGTGATATTACCTAAGAATTAAGTCTAGATCTCCCATCAAGATAATAATAATTACATAAATGTGACCTTCTACCCTCACCCAAGACAGTAGTAGTAGCACGATCAGATGCTATTTTCTGTAAGCAGAGCTTCCATTTTACAATAGCAACTGCCATTTACTAACACACATTATCATATTGCTTCAAATACATTACTCCTCTGACTAAAATCCCACATTCCTACACAACAGTCAAACACATAGCAGTATCCCACATTTCTGAATATAAACGTCAACTATGTGAACATGAAATCATACTACAATCTGCCACCAATCAAATTCAACGCGTGTGCTATTTATACTACCAAAAACAAGCTCCTATCGACATGGATGATATCTTTTTTTCTCGTTACATGAATTAACTTTCATGCAAAAAGTCCAAAAATCCCATCTCGACCCACAAACTACGGATGCATTGATGAAAATCCTCTAATACTTAACCATCCACTTAAAACAAAGTTTTCAATAAACCAAAACTATCCAACCAAAACACAAGAAACAGAACTGAACAAAATTGAGGGAAAAAAAACATTACCACATGCTCCCTCTGTATTTCAACGAATAAGGTCCACTCTCCAACGCCCGATCAAAATGACTATGCACTTTATGCTTCCCTTTCCCACTCTGATCCACCAGCGTCAACTCAAACAAAGCCCTAACATCCGTTCCTTCGCTCGCTAATGCAATAAAAACCGACACATACATCGAGCTATCTTCAGGGTTTTTCCCATCTGGGTAAAAATAAACCCCCCAATCATAACCACCTACATTGAAAACATCACTCGGTATGCATTTCCCAGCTCCCATTCCCTTCGCTAATGAATACCCCTTTATCGTAAACTGGTGAGACCCATTCACCGTCTCGTTTATTGACTTCGAACATGACTCCATATCAGTATCTGCCTTGAAATCGTCCATGATTTCATCGAAACATAGAAACCCTAGAGAAAGTTAGTTTTTTATCTATGAATTCGAGTGAAATGAATCAAAAGATAGATAAATATGGAAGAATAGAACTTCAATTGAAGGAATTGCAGGATAAATTCGACGAATTACGGTCTTTTAAAGGTTAGGACAAGCCCTGTAGTTAATTCATGGTGAAATAGGGTTTGGAGAGAAGGAAATGGAGGGATCGTAGAGAGACCGGGGGGTAAATAGGAGGGAATTGATGGAAGCAGACAGGTGAATTTGGCCGGGGAGAAGAGGAGAGGTTATAAAGAGGCCGGTGGAGGCCTGTAAATGATAAAAAGTCGAATATAAAAAAGTGAAAGTTAATTGGATATTGTATGGAGGGAAAGAGAGAGAGAGGCGTGGAGAGTTTTAATTTGTGGTCGATTTTGTATGATTTTGTTTTTGCTGTACGGGTGGGGTGGGGTGGGGTTGGGATTGGGTTCGCGTCTGAACTCTCGAGAGATGTGTCCAAGAGGAATTTAAAAATGTTTTAGTCGGCTGTCTTTATAACGCGCTGTATTTTCAATTAAAAAAATATTAAAAAAATATTTTATTTTTAATATTCATCCATTTAAAAATCCACAATGCTTTTTTTAAATAAAAAACGTTTTAAAAAAAAGTTTTGTGTGTGGGGCGTTGGGCCTTTTTTTATATGGGGACGTTTGGAAAACGCGTGCTGGCCTGGGTAGAAAGCTACAAGAATGTTCTCCGCTTCTTGCCGTTTTTCACTTCTTTTGTCGGAACTACGAATGACGAAGAGAAGCCCAGTTGAGCTGGTCCAGAAGAATGAGTCACCAGCCCGACTTCCATAAGCCCATAATAAGAGCTTGTTTCTCTAGCGAGAAGAATTCGGTAAAATTCAGTTAGGAATATTGTTTAATTATTTTTAAAAATATTGTTTGAAGATCTTTGATGAACTTTGGCGTTCTTCTAGTGGTGGGATGTGTGAAAAATCTTAAATTCTAAACACTGATAGTGAGATCAAAAATTCTGTGCCATCAACGATTTGCATCTTCTTCGTTTGTTTATTAATTTCAAATGGTCCAGATTTATTTGATTTTAAAAAAGAGAGAGACAGATTACGACACCGTCACAGTAAATTCAGAGTTTAAAGGAAGATCGCTCGGGGAGGGGGGAGATCGTGAATGTAGTGCTCAGAGTGAGGCTTAAATTTTGGAGTTCGTGGTGGTAATTATTTTTTTGAAAAAAATAAATTTTTTATTGAGTGGTAATTATTTTTTTGAAAAAAATAAAAATTTTATTGAAATAATATTTTTTTATTTTTAAAAATTTATTTTTGATATTAATAAATTAAAATAATTTAAAGCATAAATATTTTACAATTATAAAAATACAAAATAAAGAAGATAGATAAGAGCCAGAGCTTAAGAGCATTTCCTCCCTGTTAAAACTTTAAATACACACGTGAAGTCTGTACTTCAAAATCGACTAATCACATTAATGGTTAAAAAAACCTTGCTCATTTCATACACTATTAGTTTTTTTTACTATATTTTCTACTTGATATTTTTTATTTTTATTTTAATATTAAATATATTAAAATTTATTTTTTTTTATTTTTTTTAACTTATCTTAATCTTATAATTCAATTTACGAATTTGATAAATTAATACAGGTTAACTCGATTTATTTTTTAACTATTTTACTGTTCAACAACCCAGTTTTCTTTTTCTTTTTCTTTATTTTTATTTCAATCTTGTAATTCAATGTTGGGTTATTTGCAAACCTGGTTTTGTATCTTGTTTTCTTATCACTTTATATGTAGTTATCTCAATTTTATGGAGTTTTTTTAAAAATTTAAACCTTGGATATTGGACCTATTGGGAATAAAGTTTCATATTTTTTTATAAAGTAATCATAATCTCACAATCTAAATTATGGTTTTAATAAGTTAATCCAAATTGACTTGAATTTTATTTTTGCACTTTTTTTCATTGATATTTTTTATTACATTATTAAATATTGAATTGATTGAAAATTGAGTTTTGCATGTATATAATAAATTTATTTTTATGAACCTATCTCAATCTCATGACCCGAGTCACTGATTTAATAAGTTGATTGAGGTATTTTCTTTTCAATTTTATTTCTAACACTAAATTGGTTAGAAATTGACCTTCATGATTTATTTTGATTTACTTTTTATTTTATTATCACAATTTCATGATACATGTTGTATATTTGAGAGGTCAACACTTTTTTTATTTGAAAAATATTATTCAATATATATAATATTTCAATTTTATAATTATTTTTTTAATAAAAATATGTTAACAATGCTAGAATTGTTTTTACATGGAAATAAAAAAGATACTAACTATAACGTTGTGCTTACAAGTAATTTATTTTGTTATATATATTTTTAAAATTCTATTTTCATGGATATATACTCGTACTATGATTTCAGTTATTAATTTAACAGATTAATTAAGGTATTTTTTTTTTCCTGATCTTGTTCATTAACACTGATTTTATTAAGAAATAACTATCATAATTTATTTTAATTTACCTTTTATTATGTTATCATATTTTCATAATACATGTTGCATATTTAAGAGATCAATACAAATTAATTTAATATATTATTATTTTAATATTAAAAAAATTATTTAATATATTACCATATTAATATTTTTTAAAAAAATATTAACCAATACACATGATATTTGAAGTTTATAATTATTTTTTAATAAAAAATATGTTAATAACACTAAAATATCTTTTTCATGAAAATAAAAAAGATCTTAACTTCAACTTTGGGCTTACAAGTAATCTACTGCACAGAATAATTAATGAGAATCTCACTTCTTACTATTTAAAAAGGAGCATTCATCCTGGGATAAATTCTTCTAGAATTGCTTTATCCAAACTCCAGGATGTGATTTACTGCAAAAACCGGCAAATAAACATTAAATAGGATCCCTGCCCTCTTCTTGTCCATCTATCCAGCGAATTATATCTTTTTTCCATCACAATTATGTAACTAGTCTCCCTAAAATTAATTTTTTTTAACAAACCTCTGATCACGTAAATCATTCTTATTTTATTTAATTTTTTGTTATATGCCCTCATTAATTCGTATCTTGCCTTATTTTCCTATCTTTCTTCTGTCGTATTGAAAATAACATGAAACTGATGCGAGGACTACATTATAAATAGATCTCAAAATATAGGATCAATCATATATTTTCCCAAACCACAAGGATTAAATAATTAGGTTTACGGGGTCTAACCTAGAATACACAGTTACACTCTTATTTGCACACAAAAATTTATAATCCTGACGAATTTAATTGAGTTTTTAGTGGATAATCTGGATCTCCTCGGATAATTAAACACAGCACTTGCCAGTTGCCAGTTCACTCTCTTTTCCCTTCACCTCCCATTCACAACCTGTTACATCTCTAGATCACCGACCGACCGACGCTCGCTAGCTCACTCTCGCGCCTGTGCGAGCCTAGCTCGCTTGTATTCTTCGATCCCAAAGAAACCACCACCCCCGCCATCACCACCACCACACCAATCAATCATGAAACCACTCATCAACACAGATTTCATTAAAACCCCACAAATCCTCAAAATCACAGCCTTCGCTTTAATCTCAATAACTTTTTTCTACGTAGGCAAACACTGGTCCAACAGTGGCTACCAACAACTCCTCTTCTTCTCCACACCACAAAACTCCATTTCCATCTCTCCTAACAACGACAAGTCGTTCAACATCACCTCTATAATTTCCCCAAACCAATACGATCACCCCCCTACAGAACAAGCCATAACCCTGACTCCACTGTCCATTTACCCACCTCCCGATGAATCTCCACTGTCCAATCCCAACCGGACGTTTGGGATCATTGATTCCGATGGCAAAATGACTGATGATTTCGAGGTTGGAGAGTTTGATCCGGACATTGAGGAGAATTGGGGGAATGAGACTGAAATTCAGAGTGCAAGTACGAATTTCAAGGTCAGGGTTAGGAAATATGAGTTGTGTCCACGGAGCATGAGAGAGTATATACCGTGTTTGGATAATGTGGAGGCTATTAAGAGGTTGAAACTGACGGAGAAAGGGGAGAGATTCGAAAGGCACTGTCCAGAGAAGGGGAAGGGACTCAATTGCTTGGTTCCTCCCCCTAAAGGATACCGGCAGCCAATTCCATGGCCGCGGAGTCGTGATGAGGTATTGGGATCAAAGTGGGGTTTATTTTGCTGTAGAGAATGGAGAGGATAAGAAAATAAACTATAAATTTATCACTAGAATTTGCCTGGATCATTCTTCCATGTTTCTTTTTGACAATGGGGGAAATGGAAGAGAATTAATTCTTTTTACTTTTTATGAATTTAGCTCGAGTGAACAAGTAGTTATTTAGGGTTTCTCCACTTTTCTTCATATAAATTTCATTACACCAGGAAGAAATTTTGTTTATGCTGTCATGAGCTGTGTGAAATATCTGGAATACGGTTTTTTTTTTTTTTTTTCGTTTGTGATTTACTTTACTGCATTTGCCGATTCAAGGTAGTCAGTCTGTTCTGGGGGTTTTGTTTGCAAAGACTGTTCAGTTTTTTATTTTAGCTTATTTTTTCGTTTGAGATTCTTAATTAAAATGCCATTTTCATACAGGTATGGTATAGCAATGTTCCTCATACACGATTAGTTGATGATAAAGGGGGCCAGAACTGGATTTCTAAAGAGAAAGAGAAGTTTAAGTTCCCCGGAGGTGGTACACAGTTCATACACGGGGCAGATAAATATTTGGATCAGATTGCTCAGGTATGTTATTTTTACCAGTAGTCTTGGGAAGGAAAGATATGCGTAGCCTGTTTATTTGTTGTTTAACATCTCATTGGCTATGTGTAGATGGTCCCAGATATTACATTTGGTCATCATACTCGAATGGTTCTAGATGTTGGATGTGGTGTGGCAAGTTTTGGTGCCTATTTACTATCACGGAATGTTATGACCATGTCTATTGCTCCCAAAGATGTTCACGAGAATCAGATTCAATTTGCTCTCGAGCGTGGTGTACCTGCAATGGTGGCTGCATTTGCAACTCACCGTCTGCTATATCCGAGTCAAGCATTTGAATTGATACATTGTTCAAGATGCAGAATCAATTGGACTCGTGATGGTAAGATTCTCCTGTTTTGCCTAGCTTTGATCACAAAACTATTGGATCAAAATTTTAGAATAAGAGAACAATCATTATGTTACATGTTTGCCTTTTGCCAATAGAAATCTAAAATAGATGGCAGTTTTATATACTCTTGCTCTGCACTTCTCTAACTGTGTAATGTATTCCCATCCCCTTGCCATTTCATTTCCCTTCAGCCCAGTTGTGTGTATGTTGTGTGAGATTATTATGTGCCAATGAACGTTTCATGCATTCAAGGTTCTGCAGCTTAGTAAATTTGCAATTTTTGCCTTCACCCTGATGGATTCATGTTTCTGGGATCTCTTCTGATAATCTCTTCTTTTTTCCTAACACCTTGATGAAGATGGAATTTTGCTTCTTGAGGTCAATAGGATGCTCCGGGCAGGAGGATACTTTGCTTGGGCAGCACAACCAGTTTATAAGCATGAACAAGTATTAGAGGAACAGTGGGCAGGTATCCATTCAGTTTCTCATTGAGAAATTTCCAGTTAAATAATCAAAGGTTTTGCATTCTTAATTAGTTGTTTTGTTCCCCTTCAGTTAATCCACACATGAAATTTGTTTTCTCCAGTTCAGTTCCAGTAATCTAAATGTACCAAATTAATTTAGCGTTTGACTTCATGTGAGAATGGCTAGTTATCCTTGAATAATGGACTTATCCATTAAAAAATTCGAGCATATCAACCTCACAGAGAAATATGTGGAATGCTAGAAACTAAATTATTAAAGATTGGTTAAATGATGCTGGTCCACATATTGATTGAACCAGTTTATTAGCTATGCTGTGCTCTCCTGCCATTGATAGGTTGTTACATTACCGTATTTAATGTGTCTTTCTATAAATTCAGAGATGCTTAACATCACCACACATCTTTGCTGGGAGCTTGTTAAGAAGGAGGGATATATTGCAATATGGAAAAAACCCCTAAACAACAGCTGCTACCTAAGCCGTGACAAAGGAGCAATACCTCCATTGTGTGATCCAGATGATGATCCTGATAATGTTTGGTAAACTTGCTTTGCTTTTTACTGTTTGATTGGTTTTCATGGGTCATGGCTTATAAAATGACCTTTTCGAGCTTTGCTGTGAAAACTTTTGTTATACAGGTAGATAAACTTTTGGTTAATCTTACCTTTGCTGCCATGGTAGGTAGAAACTGATAGTAGAATGGGAAAAACAAGAGAAAAGGAAAACCAATATTTTCTGGATTAAAAAATTGATGGAAAAGTAGAAGATCTAAACTTGCAATTCTCATTTGGAATGCAATTTTTTAGTGGTCTACAATATTTTAATTTTCTTGGTTTCCTTTACGTGGGAGGAATTTTATTGGAAAGGTGTCCATATGTACTTTTATATTCTTCTTGTCCCCCCCTCGGCCCTTGAGGAGCTAGCTTCCTTTATTATCTTAACAACAATGTTTAACCTTGTGTACACTTCTTTATCAAGCACTCAGAGCAAGTTTCTATTGAGGAGTCGCTCGCAATTGTTTATCATCTTTGGACTTTGTTCACTTCTTTGTTCTAAAGAAAAAAACCCTGGTAATCTCTTCCCTGAAACTAATCCCCTGCAATTCTTTTTAAACAATAAAATTGTTAATATGTACAGGATTAACTAAAATATGAAATTGGAAAAGGTTCTGCAATGCTTTCCTGTTGAAGCTCTTCTGCCACTTTTTTACTAGGGACGTGCTATTCACCTTTGGAAGAAGTTTCAAATGCTCATTATTTGGCTTGGATGGCTAGCTATTGATTTCTCTTGTCATGTAAATTTGGTATCTTGTTCTATTGTAGGGACAATTTTTCCATTTAGGTGATTAAAAGATTTAGGAGTACAGGAGCTTTTTTAGGAGTGTAAATGACACATCCCTCTAGAAAATAGAACATTCCTTTCCTGTCCCATAAGACTTCTCTCCTGTTTTTTCATCAAATACACTAAAAGGAAGAAGAAAGATGATTTGATGCCATCTAAAAAAAGGTGATTCAGTGTTTTGAGTGAAAAATTGAGGTAAGGTAAGCAGGCATGTTGCTCACTTCTAATTTTCTTTTTCCAAATCTGGTGTATTGAATAACCTAACTCATTCATCAAACAAGCTGGTCTTCCTATGAAATTTTTCTTGGTGAACCAAATGAGTTTGTCCGAATGAATCTCGTAAACAAATGCTAGTCGATGTAGTTAATGGGAGAAAAGTTTAGGAATTATGGTTATTTAACCATTGATTCTGTACCCTTTAGTTTCTTGTAAACCTAGTCTATTTAAGAACTATCAAACGTTTTGAATTTTATTACTAGTTAGGAATGTTTAGTATACTCAAGAAATTAAATATCACTAAGGATTTTCTATCATTTACGGTTTTCTTTTTTCTTTTTGACTTTATATTTCCTATTTAGTTTAGGACAGCTAGGACTTTTAATGCCTATAAAAGAAGCCCCTTTTCTTTGCAGAATAATGCTAGAAATACCAATACATTTTTACTAATAACATGTCAATTGGTACTCCTATAATGGTAAAAACTACATTAAATTGTGAGATAAACCTCTGCATAATTTGAAAAACTCTCTTACGTGATAGAAACCAAATCAGTGAGTATGAGATTTTGTAAAAAAATGTTAGTTTCCTTCTCATTACTCTTCTCTATGTAATGGGGAGCACCTCAATATTGGGATTATGAGTAATTTGGTTTAGTTTAACATGCAGAGTTGAATTTTCTTTCACTTCCCTTTTCTTGATCGTGTTATTTTCTTCTCCTTCCCCCTCTATTTTTTCCCCTTGCTACAGTAACCTAGGTTGCAAATAATTTCTACTGTAAAACCCATCCTAATTCTCCAACGTGGTGCACCACAAATCCTCCATTTGGTCTCGAAACCTAAGTTGTCCTGCATCACTAGTGGAGGAGATGTTTTGTTGAATTAGATGTGTTTGTCTGAAGGAAACTTGCACAAATGCGAGTGAAAGAGAGGTTTCTCCCTTTCCAGCTTGTTGTCTTCATTTCTTCTTTCTGAATGACATAACTCAGCCTTTACTGCTGCTGCTTGATTTCTGACTTGGATAGTTGCCTATAGTGTTTGGTTGTCTCTAACTGCAATGGTAGGCTTGCAGTTAGTTTGGTTGTTGTCGGTAGATGTAATTTACTTGTTGTGAATCATAGTTGTAAAATTCTCATGTTTTTTTCTTTGGGTTGGGGGGGATTAATGTTGGCGAAAAATCAGTGAAGACATATTTAGAACTGCTACCTTTTCTTGATAGGTTATGTATTTAGAATTGTTAGCTGAGCCCCCTGGGCCCACCTGTCAGGGTATCTGCTGTTGAGACATTGATACAGAATTTTATAAAAGCTTTCATGCATCTAATGTTAATTTGCTCATTCTTCTTTGAGCTTTGTACATATCATCTGTTATAGCTTTCTTTGCACAATGTTGTTAGGTATGTTGATCTGAAGGCATGCATTAGTCGACTTCCGGAAAATGAATATGGAGCAAATGTTCCCACATGGCCTTCTCGTTTGCACACTCCACCTGATAGACTCCAGAGCATACAATATGAATCATACATAGCCAGAAAAGAGCTATTGAAGGCAGAAAATAAGTTTTGGTCTGAAACAATAGCTGGCTATGTCCGGGCTTGGCATTGGAAGAAGTTTAAACTTAGAAATGTGATGGACATGAAAGCTGGCTTTGGAGGGTATTCTATTTACAATTCATCTCATCTTGCTTTGTTCCAGTACAAAGGTTATTTTACTGTGTCCCATTAATGCTTTGATTGTTGATTTTGTTAGATTCGCAGCTGCATTAATTGATCAAGGATTTGATTGCTGGGTTTTGAACGTGGTTCCTGTAAGCGGATCCAACACCTTGCCTGTTTTATATGACCGTGGACTCTTGGGAGTTATGCATGATTGGTACCATTCTAAACTGTCAGATTAGCTAAAGCATAAAGTTTTTTGGATCCTCATTTTGGATACTGGGGTAACGGTTCTCATAAATACTTAACATGTTACAATAATGCTGTGTACCCTTGACTAACCCCCCCCCCCTCCTATGGTTTCATTTCTCATTGATAAAAAATGAATGTGATGCTATTTTGATTTTGTTTAAAAGTCTCTCACTATCTATATTGCTTGAACTTAGTTGAATGAACTTCTGTTGCACATGATCAAAACTCATCAGGTGTGAACCTTTCAATACATACCCAAGAACCTATGATTTATTGCATGCAGCTGGCCTCTTTTCTGTTGAAAGGAAAATGTAAGCATTGTTCTTTTTGCTCAATTTGTGACTTGCGCAAGATCTTACAATCAAGATTAAGCTGGAGGTTTTTTCTCTACTTTGCTTTCTGTTTTCACATTGTTTATTTCTTCTAATCAGATGTAATATGTCTACAATCATGCTTGAGATGGATCGCATGCTTAGACCTGGTGGTAAAGTTTACATTCGCGACTCTCTTGATGTCATGGATGAACTTCTACAGATAGCTAAAGCCATGGGCTGGCAGGCAACTTTGCGCGACACATCTGAGGGTCCTCATGCAAGTTACAGGATCTTGACTTGTGACAAGCGCCTGTTGCGTCCTTGAATGAATGCAATCTAAAAGCTAGCTGTGGTTTTCTGGAGGTAGTTGTAAAGATCAGATCAACTACTTAGAGATAATGGAGAAAAGATGGCCAGGAAAAGCTGGATTTCGAAGGAGAAAGAATTGTTTTGATCCTGTAGCGATAAGGCCACTGGGCGACTGAGCTTCATGGACTTCACCCCATGTCTTTTGAGGACTTACCACGTGGGTGCAGATCCTGATGTCAGAACGTCGTAACTGGCTCATCATGCCAAAAAGAGGGCCCTTTATATTTGTCATGTAATTGTTTTAAAACACAATGTCCATAGTACATAGTCTACAGACTGCTTTCTCAAGTTGAAAACATTTGTATTGTATATTCTTTACTAGTTATTGATCTAGAAATATACACAAATATTCAGGCTATAACTTTCTTTATTTTTGGAATTGTAAATTATTTATTAAGTGCTCATTCTTCACCTTTTTGAATTTGCTTGAAGCATAGCAGTGCAAATGACGAGCTTTTTCCTATTTTCCCATGTTGTCCGTGTTTATTGGTCGAAATAATTGTCCGCTGATTGATGGCCTATACTGAGAAATGAGATCACGATTGCCGATTTTGACGTTGTAGCATCCGTTTCGATCATGATCTCCTCCTTAATTTTCTACGGGGCCAGCACAAGTGACTGGCGCTTGCAGGAGTATTTCTGAAAAAATGTGATCATGGCTTGGAATAACCAGTGATCGCAGGGCTCCAGAGGCCACATCATGGGTCGCCCGTTTACTGGAAGCTACAAGAATTGAAACCTACTGGTAACCGTGTAGTATCTAACAAAATCAAGTGAACATATAATCCTGGACAGAGCATCAATGAGTGTTTTGGCATCGCCCTCAATTATAAGTTGATTATAACCCCTTTCAGCACCAACTCTGATAGCTTCTCTCAGTGCCAAAGCTTCATAAACTCGAGGGTCATGACCGTGTGAGCAAAAACATCCGAGAACAGAGACCACCTCTCCTCAGTAATTCTTTCCAATAATTCCAGCACCATCGGTTTTTGTACAAGCCCCTTCAAGATTGAGCTTGATGACATTCATCTCAGGAGGCTTCCAAGAAGGGATATTACCTTCGTGTGTGTTAGTATCTTAAATGTTTTCAGAGCCAGAGAGACCAAGAATGCTAACATAGTCGTCATATTGGTGTGGAGCCTGCTCCAATATTTGTACAACAGTCCAGTTCCTGTCATCGAAGACCGCATAATTTCTGGCCTTCCACAATCTCCAGCAGCTGAAACTAAAGTTCCATAGGATACTGCATTGAGGAAAAGCTCTGCAAGGAACTTTGAAACTTCTGCCTTCAATCCTTGAAATCTACATCTTCAAATTTCAAACACTTCAGATCTCATCGGCAATGAAGACCGAAACCATACCTGCCGGGCCTTCGAGTTTCATATCCCTGTAAACTTATATTGTAATGGTGACTTGCAATAAACTTACTATTTGAAAATAAATAATTTTTTCTCAAAAAAAAAAACAAAGCACCATTCCCCATCAAAAGTTATCACATGTATGCCAATGCATAAAATGCCTATATATTATTTCACCCAATCACCTCATTCGCAAAAATGCCTATGATGTTCTCTAAAAAAACGTGAATTATATTTTTATGGGCCAACGAAAAAGATAATTGTAGCCCACCATAAAAGCTGACATGATAAGCCCAAAGAGCTATTTCTTGAATTAATGTTTCAATATGGGTCTAAACTCTAAAAGCCCAACTAAAGATTTACGCTTTTATAGAAATAGCAGCAATTAGGGTTTTACGTTTCCATCTCGCAGCTTCATAGTATAAGCCACTTTTAGCGAGACAGGAAGAGAGAGCTCTAGCCTCAGAGTTTGAAAATGGTGAAGGGACGCCAAGGAGAGCGAGTCAGGTATGCGATTTATACAGACATATATTTTTTTATACTTGCTTTAATGTTTTGAAAAAAAAAAAGAACAATTTTTTTTTTTTAATTAAGAAATTGTAGATTGAAGCTAATAAATGATTGCTTTAATGTTTATCTCTCTTTCTCTATGTGCTGTTCGTTTTTTAGGCTTTATGTCAGAGGAACAATCTTGGGCTATAAGAGGTAATTACTATAGTTTGGAGCTTGGCTTTTATATTCTGTGTAATTTTAATTTGTATGTCTTTATGATTTCTCCGAGAAATTTGAATAAGAAAAGAAATAAATTAAGGTTATTTAGATCAGGGGGTTTGGTTATTTAGAAGCTGTTATGTTAAGTGAAATATTACCACTGGATTTCATAGTTATAGTAAAAAGTGGCATTTGCTACTTTCTAGAAAACGCTTTGATCTTTGTTCAAAAGATAAGCAAAAGAAAACATGTTTTTTTATCGATGACAGTTCAAGATTTGCGGTTTTAGCTTGCATTTGTTTATGAAACGTACTATATCCGAATTCCCAGCAATTTTAATTGATTGACAAGTCAGGGAAAAGAATATGATAGACTGGTTGGAATTTTTTGTGCCAGTTTCTGTAAATGAATATTGTTTGTCACAGGAAATGGAACTTAGGATTTTGTTTTTGTTATGTGGATTTGTCTGGAGATTAAAATGTTATTTTGGTGGTTAGGTCGAAGTCCAACCAATACCCAAACACATCTCTGATCCAGATTGAGGGAGTCAACACCAAGGAAGAAGTTGCATGGTATGCTGGTAAGCGCATGGCATACATATACAAGGCCAAGGTGAAGAGGGATGGTACCCACTATCGCTGCATTTGGGGCAAGGTCACAAGGCCTCATGGAAACAGTGGTGTTGTCAGAGCTAAGTTCAAGTCCAACTTGCCTCCAAAGTCAATGGTATTGTTAAAAATAGCTGTTGTGATTGATATGTTATCCTTTCTGGGTATTTGGATTTTTGTGTATTGATTTTGCGTTTTTTTTAGGGATGTCGTGTAAGAGTTTTCATGTATCCCAGCAACATTTGAGGTACAGTTAACTTTATGTCATCATTACTTTCCTCTTTGAATGTACCAATCATCATTACTTTCCTCTTTGAACGTGTTAAGCTCAATGACTTATGTTTTGTTTTATTGTGTATTTATTTGAATTTTGCCTGCCTCTCGAGATCACTAATTTAGAAGTTTGACGGGTTAACTTACCAAATAACACTTTGGTTTGCTTCGTGGTGGGGGATTACTTCATGGGGAATGATTTTGGGAATTGTATATGGTTACTTTTGATTCTTGAATAATGATTTTCACATAATGGATCCGTTTGTGTTTTTGGAGATGGATGCTAATGTTTCAATACTTCATTGGAATTCCATTTTTTCAGCAACTGGAGTGGGTTAAAATGGCAATACCAGGGGCCATTATTATCCACTGAATCTGCCAAATGTGCTTTTATTCTATAGAATTGTTGCGGTGTGTAATCTTATACGTGGTTGAACAGTGCTGCCTTATGGATGGATTGAAAGCGCAGGCATTTTACTTGTATGTGCATTAATATAATATGATCAAAGCGTTCAAGTTATTTTCTTCAGTTAATCACCAGAGTCTACCAACATTCTTTTGTTGTCTAATAATCACTTTCCAGTACCATTTTAATCTCATTTAAAAAAATGGATGTATTTTTAGGACACTGTTATCTAGTGTGATTCTGATAGCGCTTAGCTCATGCTATTATTTTGGATTCATTTTATTCCGTTGATAATCAGAGGCTCGGATAACATAAGAAACATTTTTCTTTGGATTCAATTCCTGTCGATGGTTTCACGCCTTAATTTAATAAAGTCCTAGCTTTGTTTCAGTCACATTTTGTCATGGTCTTTTTCTTGATTCTAATATCTGCTTTTTTTCCCTCTTGCTGTTCCTCAGGCTCTTTACAGGTAGCAGCGTGGGTCCATTCGATGTCTTGTAGGGATTGTCGTTTTACTTGTTATAAGCTAAGTTTAAATATCGTATGAGCTGAGAATGATGGACGGACTTTGTTTCTAATTTCAGTATCCGTTTCCCACCATTCTGTCTTGGATGTGAATGGTTTTGCTGTCACCTTTTCCTTGATTTAAACATTAAGATCTTTGGAATGATGAACATGATGTGGCACATTGATTCGCGCAATAATTCTTTTACTGTAACCGAATGTGATAGGGCCAGAGGTCAATTCATTATATAGACAAAAGCATCAACACGTTTTGCAAGAAAAAAAACAGGAGGCTTGGGATCTGTTATTTGAGCTTAAAACAAAACGAAAGTACTAAAAAGGTAAGGTGAATAGCTGTCCATGTTTTCCTTGCAACGTTCATGGAAGAAAACCATAGTTAAGCCGAAAAGAACACATGATTGGAGGTCCAAATTACTCCAATTTTGAGCTACCCGCTGTTCCACCCAAGGGGTAACAAGCGCAATCAAAATAAATTGAAGGGTAACTTGGTAAGTTTTTCATTATGGAAGTGTGAAGATTTCCCTGCAAATTATTATGCAGCCAGAATTCTGAAAAATTGGTGAACATGAAACTTTTTCCCTTTGTCGAGAAAGGTGAAAATCAAGATAGCTTGTTGTGTAATTAGAGTAGAAATTCTGGGGCGATATCAGCTGCACTTGACAGTATGCGTTTGTGATAGCTTCTTTGTTTCCTTGGACAAACACACCTTTAAAAAACTTGTCATGAACTTACCGGCAGCAGTAAGTCTCCGTGGCCATGCTAAAGGCTGTAACTTTCTCCTGAGGTATAGCTCTCCAACGAAGTATCCTGCCATGGGACCTGGGTTGCCTTTCCAATTTTCAGTTTGCTGATCTGCTCCAAATAGATACCTTGCCTCTATTTTAGTAAGGAATCGACAAATCAATAGAAGATTGATTCAAAAGTTTTTTTTGTAAAGAAAAGAACGCCAATTCCTTAAAAAAGGGTACCAACATGATACATCCACCGAAAGATATCAATCAGACCAGCTGTTCTAAGGGTATTTTTTTCTCCCCTTGAAAAGCAATGGCTGAAGCTATAATTTCTGATGTCATTTGAAGAACTGACCCAGTGGTTAGTGAAGCAGCTTTTCTTTAGAGTGCCGCATAGGAAGTTGAGGGGTTCAAGCTGAACTGAAGCGAATGAAGTGCTTCATGAAAGACGCAGACCAGAAGCAAGAAAAGGATGAGCGTGTTCGCATCTGCATGGCTGAAATCAAAGGTGCTGCACACGAGGCACAAATTTTCCGGAGGATAAGCTCATTCAAACACTTCAAAAAGGGTTTGAGGGGAAACGATATTTGGTGGTCCTATATGATATTGTATGGGGAAATGAAGTGTGGGTTAGTTTAAAACCTGCTTCCCCTAAAGGAAAGGAGGGAAGCAAAGTTTCAGTAACCACGCTAATTCAATGTTTACATAGTTAATAATTCATTTTCTTCTAATTGAATGTGTTGTCACTCAACTCAATTTGTC